TCTCCCTCGATCCCCTCCATGCCTGCCATTTTATTTCTTACCCTTGTTACTGATTCTTCCACTTGAGCCCTCATTCATCCATAACTAGTTTATTCAAATTTCCTGGAGATAATATCAATTTTTCTACTTCAGTTATCTGGGGAGAATTATCCCCACTGCTAGTCTGATCCTCTATACCTGACATCCATGGTACAATAGATTGTAGCTTGGTTATAATTGACTTAACAACTAATATTTACATACAATTGAATATATCATACATCTTACTGTGTCTGGGTTACCTCATTCAGGATGATGTTGTTGATATATATATATATATATATATATATATATATATATAGTATTTTATATAGATACATATATATAGAGAGAGATATAGTATTTTTACTTTATAAAATATATATAGCTTCATTCATCTATCTGGTAGTTTTATTCTATTGTATAAGCATACTACATTTTCTTTTTTTTGTTTTGATTTTTTGAGACAGGGTTTCTCTGTGTAGCTTTGGAGCCTATCCTGGCACTCGCTCTGGAGACCAGGCTGGCACTCACAGAGATCTGCCTGGCTCTGCCACCTGAGAGCTGGAATTAAAGGCGTGCACTACCAACGCCTGGCTACTACATTTTCTTTATTCTTTTTCTAATGAGGGACATATAAGTTATTTATAATTCTTCACTATTATGAATAGAGCAGCAATAAACATGGTTGAGCAAGTGTACCTGTTGTAGGATGGAGTGTCCTTTGAGTATATGTCCAAGAGTACTATCGCTGGGTCTTGAGGTAAATTGATTCCCAACTTTCAGAGAAACTGCCATATTGATTTTCATAGTGACTGTACAAGTTTGTGCTCCCACAGCAACTGAGGAATGTTCCCCTTGTTAAACATCCTTGGCAGCATGAGCTATCACTTGTGTTATTGATCTTAGCCATTCTAATATGTATCAGATAGAATCTCAAAGTATATTTTATATGTATTTCTTTGGTGACTGAGGATATTGATTATTTTTTTAAAGTATTATGCATGGTTGATAGATATTAAGCATTGCAATATCTTCTTGATAGATTTTTCCTCTAATGAGCAGGTAGTTTCTTTCTCTATATCCTCAGATAAGTATTAGTTTGAAGTGTATTTTGTCAGATACTAAAATGGCCAGACCAGCTTGCCTCTAATATCCATTTTCTTGCAATATATTTCCATCTTTTTACTCTGAGGTAATGTCTATCCTTGATGTTACCTCCTTTTTTCTTGAAAAGAGCAGGAGGATGGAATTTCACTTTGAATCAATCTGTTAATCCGTATCTTTTTCTTGGAAATTTGACACCATGGAGGTTGAGAATTATTGATTACTAGTATTTTTTGTGGTGTGTGTGTGTGTGTGTGTGTGTGTGTGTGTGTGTGTGTATGTGTGTGTAGGTGTGTGTATGTGTGTGTGTGTGTTTCCTGTCTTCTAATTTTCTCAACCGGGATTATTTATTCCTTTTGTTTCATTGGGTGTTGTTAGCCTCTTTAAGTTTGAGTAGTCTTCTATTTCCTATTGTAGGGCTGGATTTGTAGATAAATGGTGCTTAAATTCAATTTTATCATTGAACATCTTATTTTCTCCATCTAGTTTGACTGGATATGGTTGCATTGACTCATACTTATGGTCTCTTAAAGTCTTTAGAAAATTAGTTGAGAAACTGTTGGTTTTTAGAGTCTCCAGTGAAAAGTTACTCATTTTCCAGTAAGTTTGCCTTGTACATGTTATTTGGTTATTTTCCCTTGTAGCTTTTAATCGTTTTTCTTTGTTCTGTACATTCAGTATTTTGTCTAATATATGCGGAGGGTAATTACTTTGTTTTCTGTTCTACTCTATTAGTGTTCTGTATGTTTCTTGTATTTTAATAGGTATCTTCTTCAGGCTAGAAAAATTTTCTACTATTATTTTGTTAAAAATATTTTCTGGGATTTGACTTGTATTTATATTCTTTCATCTATTCCCATTAAACTTAGACATGGTCTTTTCATATTATTCCAGATTTTCTGGATACTTTGTGCCAAGATATTGTTAGAGTAAACATGCTTTTTGATAAAGGAATTATTTTTCTATCATGTTTTTTAGTGTCTGAAATTCTTTCTCCAACTCTTCTATTCTGTTGGTGATACTTACCCTCGAGGCTCCTTATTTTCCATTTCCAGATTTCACTCAGTTTGGTTTTGGTTTGTTGATTCTATTTCAGTTGCAGATCTTGTACTATATTATTCATTTCCTCTACTGCTTTGGAGGGGGAGTTCAAAATATGGAATGATTTACAAATTAGCACTCCATACTAACACAGAGCCTCTTGTAATCTTCTCTGTATAGTTTCATTTTTAGTATGTGAGTTGCCATAGCAAGATCCCTTCTCTGTTTCTTGAATCTTGAGTCCTGATACATTTTAACTAATGGGGTAATGTTTGCTGCTTTTATTACCAATAAGGGAATAAAAGAAATAGTGTTTACACTGAAATAACAATGTTTTTAATCAAAGTCTTCTACCTGATAGGAATATTGTTCATGACATGTTTATGTCAAGTGTTGTTTCCCAGCCTTATGTTATTGTCCTTGAATCACAAATTTAATGGAGAATTTTAGTAAACTAGTATGAATTTTAATTACTTATGAATGAAGTTCTGAGTCATGCCCCAGTATGCATTTGTATATTTAACTCAGAACAGCCACCAACAAAAGAGCCTAACTTAATATATAGGTAAGAAGTAAGTGAAAGTTGGTAATTTTAACTGTTCCTTGATAACAAGACACAGAAACAAAAGCAGTCTTGTTAATGAAGTTTTTTTTTTTTCTGTGCTGTGTGTGATTGTATTAAACTACTGGATGCACACAAAAAAGACAAAGAAAAGGAGATGTAAAAGTGATTGGGAACATGTATTCAGAAAACACAATATAAATTCATATATATATATATATATATATGTTAAAAATAGAGAACTTGGGAAACTCCCAAAATTGTAGGAATTGAAATTTTGTGTAATTGCTTGTTAGTTCAAGCCAACTTTTCTTTTTTGGGTACAGAATATGATTTTGTCTGTAGAATGCCTGGGCTCATACTGAGCCAGTTAAACTAGTGTGGAGATTTTATTAACTCAAATCACACGCCGTCTTCCTTTAGGATTCATGATAACTAGACTTGACCTGTTGTACTTGCTGAAGTTTTCAAAATTTTTACATCATTGCTGTTCAACTGGAGGGCTAATGTTCTGTGGATGACATATAGACTCATTTCTGGACATGTGAATGTCACACACACTTTTGAACAGTTTCTATTTCACACAAAGAAAGCCTTTACTATACCAAAAATTGCAGCAAACATATTTCAAGAGTATATTTAAACATGTAACTTCAATATTTTCTTTGAAAGTACAAAGGAGGTTCATAACATATATTCTTCTCTGCTGAACATAGATTCAGATTCCCCAACAAAATCAGCTGAAAATCTGCCCTTCAGTGTGTGATTGGTGATGATATGAACACATCTCCTGAGGTTCAATACATCAACACCTGCAATGTTCTTGAAAAGTGCAAAGTCAGGGAATGAGAAGAGATTTTAAAATCATGGTCCAATGAACAGTGTAGTGGAGTTTCACACCTGGAAGAAAATTGAAGAAAGATTGATAAAGTGGTTTGGGGTCTGCCATTACTAGTTAAATATTTTATCAAGGTTGTTGATGACCTGTGAGTCCTGGACAATTGCTGAAGAAAAGCAAATTGGTATTATGTAATGTGAAAAATCTAAGTCTATTTTTGGACCATGAACTAATACATAAGAAAATAAAAGAAATCTGGATATTTGTGTAACATTAAAGATTTTTCAACACACAACATTTATGATTTTGAAAAATGATATGGCAAAGTATATTCCTGAATAATTGAATAGTGGATCAATTTAAATTGGACATTAACTCAAACTATCAGCCTTCCATAAAGATCAGAAATTATTTCACTGTTTAAAGAGTTTTCCTAAAAGTATAGAAAGTGTAGTTCTACTACAGTGAATAATTACATTACCTAGAACCTCAAACTGAGTATTGTATTTTACTTGAAGGCTATTGGTAAATAACTAGCTGGCCTTTAATCTGAAAAATTAAAAGTAAGCATAAAGATGCAGTTAATGGGGCATTGTACATAGTTAAGATTGTAGTAAATAAATGGTGTGCCCAAAGTTCATTGAGCAGGAGGAAGAAGATAGGGCTGTAAGAAAAAGTAGAGGCTGATTACATCAATATTGACTGTTAGGTACTATTCTAAACTTAATGCCAGTATAACAAAATGTTATATAGTCATTTCTACACTATGTATTGTGGTATATGTGTGTGATCCCAGAGCTCAAAAATCCACGGCATAAAGTGTATAAGTTGGAAGATTATTTGGGATATATGGTTTTATCCTTACTCAAGTAAAGATAAGAAAAGTAATAGGTTCAGTCATGACTCAGATAATTTGAATAATATAAAATTAATCAAAGTGACTACATTCTTTCTCCCAAAGTCCATAGAGATCCCAAAGCAGTGGGTTTTACTCATCTCCTTTGGCATGATCCTAATGCATGGGCTCATATTCTTCATGGCTAAAGTCAATCTCAAGTCTGTGCTGCCAGCACTGAGAAATGGAGGAAGGAGGAAGTTCCCTGAACATTTAAAGTTAGTCTGAACTACATAGTGAGTACAAAGCAGGCCTGAGTCACAGTGCGGGATTCTCTCTCTCTAAAAAACTAGTATTGTTTAGAATTCAGTGAACTAAACCAAATTGCAAATAATGGCTGCAGTACATTTTATAAAAAGTGTATGCCCTTCAAAATCGTAAATTGTCCTTAAGCCATTTGCCTCTCTAAAAACCAAATAAACATTTAATGAATTATACAAATAATTTATAAATTGAAATGATTTAGTTCTAATAATTCATTGTGAAATGAATTTAAAATTATCTCTCTTGACAGAATCAAGGAAATTCACATATATCCTCATAAATAAATTTTTGTCTTAATCAGAATTAATTCAAAACAGCCAATTTCTGTTGAGAACTGTTACAAGAGTAGACTAGGAAGAAAATTTTAGTTATTCAACCATAAAGCAAGGCCTACAGTTGCAATTATATTTAAATGTATCATGCATCATTCATAACAGCTTCATTTTCATCGGAGGAGTAGCAAGGATTACAATTTGTTCCTTATATAAGAAGAAAAATGCCTTTTTTCATAAACGATCAAGTAGAAATAGAATATTGATTTGTATTTAATTAGGAACTAATTATCTATGTGGTTAAAATATTTTAATAAATATAAATAATTGAGAACTTTATGGTCTAATAAAAATAATAAGTTTCTGATTCTGTGCTCACAAAAGTTAATAGAAATAAATATTTAATTCAAAAGACATAAAGTTGAGAATCTCTTTAATACTTTAGAGTTTATGTTCAAATCTATTTTACATAGACATTGAGAAAAGGTTTCACTTTGGGCTATGATTATCTCCTCAATCTCTAGTTTTGTATTCTTGCCTCAATTTCTGTACTGCAGTGGAAGTTCTCTGAGGTCCCCAATATGGTACTATTTAAGTCAAAATAGATGGTCAAATACCCTTACCATTTACTTGTGCTAATCCTTTTATGTGTTTTATTTATGTTTAAGAAGTTGAAACACCGCTGTTTCAATTAGTTATCAAAAGTGCTTGGCTAGAGGCAGCACAAAATTTTTATTAAAATTTTTATTATTATTATTATTATTATTATTATTATTATTATTATTAACATTTTAATGTGGTTTATTATCTTGCAACAAAATCACTTTGTTAAAATGATACTGGCTGGACAATGCATTGGTCTTCTCATAAAGGCATTTACTATACTGATAATAGTATAGTAAATTATTTAAAAATACAAAATAAAATTTTATGAAAACCTCATTTTCAACATGTACATTACTATGCTTACAGACTTTTTCAAGAATAAGTACCTCATTATACCTGATTTACATTATTCTACAGATCCAATGTTTCTACTTACCTCAATAGTAAAATCAAGGGCCAGATTCAATTCAATTTATAAAACAGTCAGTAGGACAGTCATCCAAATCACATTAAAGAGAAATTGTTTTAGATGTTTGGTTTTATAGATTCTTTGTATACAGAGGAAAAGAGTCTTTGAAAGCATATGAGCATGACTCATTATCACAGAGAAAGACAACAGAAATGTTAAGTCTAGTCTAAAACATCAAAAGGTCAAGTGCGTACGGCTGTTTACTACAGGTACATGTAGCCACAATCGTGGAAAGGCAACATGGACAGTGACTATTAGATCACAATATTAATTTCAAACCCTCGGAAAGAAATTAAGTACAGCACAAAATTATTAGTTGAACTTTCACGTCATCAAAATTTCAAAGGGCATTGGGGTGCACTGAAAGTCAGAGCAGCTCAGCTCCTCAGGAGAAGCACTGGCAGTCTGCTTTGTGTATTCACATCTGTGGTTCTACTCCATCCTTCATGGGGAACTTCCAGTGATAACTTTCTTCTTCATGGTTCCCCCAGTCTCTCTCATCTTCCAGATTTGTAAATGTCCTGGAATCCAGGTTAATATACTCAAGCCGAGAACTTATTCACACAGAGAGACTTTAATGTAGTCTCAGATTTGTGGCATCAGAGCAGGAAAAACATTGAAAGGACACTTATTCTAAGTGTTATACACACAGCCTGCAGATTGACCACCTTCCTTTCTTCCTACTCATTGTAGTAGGAAACACAATGTCGCTTCACCCAAAACCGGATAGCCACTGCACTTCTAATTTGCTGCACAACTCCTCCCATAGAAGAGCACAGTCCCTTTTTAAATCTAGTTTTCCTTGATACAACAGCTCCAATTTACCAAAAAATTCGACTACCACTTGAATATTAACATAATCTTCTCTACTCAAAAATATATTACTATATATAAATTTTTTTCTTTTACATATTCACAGGATATTCTGTCCTCTGCCTTTCCATTCTCCCCAGGCATGAATAATACACTGTGCATACTTTTTTCTTCCTATTCAGTTTGTATCTCACCTCAAATCATTTTATAATCTCATTTTTTATATTGTATATATTATTGAGAATATTCCCTGATTATTCTGGGGCTTTAAATTTAAATATACTAAATCGTGTCAGCAATCGCCTTGGCTATTATCAACTCAATTTTGGGGGAAATGACATTAAATCAGGGGCCTGTGAAACACAGGCTGAAAATAATATGTAGCCAAGGTTATCTCCAAGTTCCTCCCATGTCCATATCCCATGGTCTAGAATCATAGTAATTGACCTCCATGCCTGGTTTATTTTCTTTTATTCTAAATAGAAATTCTTGCATGTCT